TACCTCTTCCTCGTCCTACTGTCCGTGCTACTGTAACGAGCACTGATACTGGAATGAATAGACCACAGAGACCAGGTTCGGACGCAAGTTTGAAGCCATCGTGTCTGCCGCTTCCAAAGCCCCTTGGTGCTTCCACTGTGCCTGATAATACAGGTGCTGAGGCTGATTTTAACACTGCTTCCGTGTCTAGTGGAAGTTCTGTGGGTGACAATCCATCTGATTCTCTTCTCAGTCCATTGGCTTCTGATTGTGAAAATGGGAACAGAACAGCAGTAAACATTTCTTCGAGGTGAGTTCTGATACGCATTAGTTAATGTTCGTTTTATCATTATAGTTTCTTTCTTTATTTCCTTTTTCGAAACTGCCTAGAGAATGCTTCGGAGGTTTCTATCCGGTTAGGACGAGGAAGAGAATGTGCTTCTTTTTGGGATACTATACTTGTTACGTTATTGTTCTTTACCTAAGACACGCAAAATATGGAAATCTCAGTTTGAGCTGTATTGTTGTTGTTGTGCACTGTGTTCTATTTCTAAACATGTTATTATCCTACTCTTTATGTGTAGGGATCAGACTATGAATAGTAACAAAAACTCAGCTGAGATGTTCAAGCCAGCCCCAAATTTGTCTAACAAAAATCGGATTCTATCGACATCTCCTAGGCGGAGACCTCTGGGCACGCATGTGAAGAATCTACAAATCCCACAACGGGACTTAGTGCTCTGCAGTGCTCCGGACAGTTTGTTGTCTAGTCCCTCTAGGAGTCCAATGAGATCATTTGTCCCAGATCAAGTCTCAAACCATGGTTTGTTGATTGGCAAACAGTACTCAGATGTTTCCTTGCTTGGATCTGGACAGTGCTCAAGCCCAGGTTCAGGTTACAACTCGGGTAACAATTCCATTGGTGGAGATATGTCTGCTCAGCTGTTTTGGCCTCAGAGCAGGTGTAGCCCTGAATGTTCCCCTGTGCCTAGCCCAAGAATGACGAGCCCTGGTCCGAGCTCCAGAATACAGAGTGGTGCCGTTACTCCTCTTCATCCTCGAGCTGGAGGATCAACCACTGGCTCTCCTACTAGACGGCTTGATGATAACAAACAGGAAAGCCACCGCCTGCCTCTCCCGCCGTTATTAATCTCAAATACTTGTCCGTTTTCACCCACATATTCAGCAGCAACATCGCCTTCTGTCCCCCGAAGTCCAGCAAGAGCAGAGGCTACAGTTAGCCCTGGCTCCCGATGGAAAAAGGGGAGATTGCTTGGGATGGGCAGTTTTGGACATGTGTATCTTGGTTTTAACAGGTTCGTAATTCTGTCTTACAGTCTGTGTTGGCTATGGGAAGAACGTCACTACTAAAATCTATCTCAGTTTTCGTGGTTACGAGAAAGTGATTTGCACCTCTTCACAAATGATTGAATAGGAAAGAGCTTGCATGTTTTATTTCTATGCCACTACTGGCTGATCAGCTATGTTTTCTTCCTCAGTGAAAGTGGTGAGATGTGTGCCATGAAAGAGGTTACATTATGCTCAGATGATCCAAAGTCAAGGGAGAGTGCCCAACAATTAGGCCAGGTGAGATACAACATCATCATTTGTTTTTGAACAACAAAAAGCTGCTCTTTTAAGTGCATTTAGTCTCTGATTTTTCTAACGTTTTAGTTTCTTTTAAATAATTGACTCTCACAGGAGGTTGTAGTTCTAAGCCGTTTACGTCACCCAAATATAGTGCAGTATTATGGCTCTGAAACCGTAAGTCTTACAGATAATTTTTGGAAATTTCTTGTTCTCTGTTATTGGTAACACACTATCAACTGTTTCTACTGAACTACACTGCGTCTTACTTTCCTGCCCCCATACAGGTAGATGACAAGCTGTATATATATCTGGAGTATGTCTCTGGTGGTTCGATCTATAAGCTTCTTCAGGAGTATGGACAATTTGGTGAGAATGCAATCCGTAACTACACACAACAAATTTTATCAGGGCTCGCGTATTTGCACGCTAAAAACACTGTTCATAGGTAAACCAGTTAATTCTGTCCATTCTCCTGATTCCTCGGTTTCCTTCACCCTTCCTTCATTGGGACATTAGGTGAATATGAATTTTAACTTTGTCCAGGGACATTAAAGGAGCAAATATATTGGTGGATCCCCATGGACGAGTAAAAGTGGCTGATTTTGGGATGGCAAAACATGTATGAATATGTTCTCTGCAATCTTGTGCCATTGTTTTGTTTTCGTCCCGTTTAAAACTTTCCTTCATGCAGAATCTAATTCAAGTTCATGCACAAAATGCAGATTACTGCTCAATCTGGCCCTTTATCATTCAAGGGAAGCCCATATTGGATGGCGCCTGAGGTCAGTACGCTGTTACAGAACGTTGGTTTTTTCATGTTGATAGGCTATATGCTGATGCTTTATACCTTACGATGGATTTCAGGTGATACAGAATTCAAATGGCAGTAACCTTGCGGTGGACATATGGAGTCTTGGATGCACTGTTTTAGAAATGGCTACAACGAAACCTCCATGGAGCCAGTATGAAGGGGTTAGTGAATCATATCCATAAGTACTCATAAAGAACAAAAGATTTAATGATGTGAAAATCCTTCCATCCTCATGCATGTGAGTTCTTTATAGGTTCCTGCTATGTTCAAGATTGGAAACAGCAAGGACCTTCCAGATATCCCTAATCATTTATCTGAAGAAGGGAAAGATTTCGTGAGAAAATGCCTACAAAGAAACCCTGCAAATCGTCCAACAGCTTCTCAGCTTTTAGACCACGCTTTTGTTAGAAACGCCATGCCGATGGAAAGGCCTATTGTGAGTTCCGAACATGCCGAATCTATGAATGTAGCTTCAAGCACCATGAGATCACTGGTACATAAACCTCGTGTTTCGCAATTCTAAATTATCTATGCTTCTGGTTGCCTGACAAATCTGTCTCTTTTAGGACATTGGACACGCAAGGAGTCTTCCATGCTTAGACTCGGAAGATGCAAGCAATTATCAGCAGAAAGGATCAAAACCTGGCTCAGGATTCAGGTACCTTGTTAGCCATTCCGTTTCAAGTTTTTCCAAGCATCTAAACATCTATGTTGGCTAACATTTCCTTCCTATTTGGTCGCAGTACATCACAGCCTCATAGGAACATGTCGTGCCCGATTTCACCAGTCGGTAGTCCAATCTTTCACTCGCATTCGCCGCACATTGGCGGAAGAAGGTCTCCATCCCCGATATCTAGTCCCCATGCTCTCTCCGGTTCATCAACTCCTTTAACCGGGTGCGGTGGAGCCATCCCGTTCCATCACCAAAGACAGACTACAATCAACTTATTGCAAGAAGGCATAGGATCAAGCAGAAGCCCTGGAAGTGGCGGGAACTTCTACACGAACAGTTTCTTTCAGGACTCTAGACAGCAAGATCGGCCGCGGAGTAGTTCAAGGACGCCTCCTCATATATTTTGGGACAACAACGGTTCGATCCAACCAGGCTATGGTTGGAACAAGGACAACCAGCCAGTACTATCTGATCATGTGTCCCAACAGCTCTTAAGTGAGCATCTGAAAATGAAGTCCCTCGACCTGAGATCCGGTTTTCCAACTCCCGGTTCGACAAACAGACCCTAAACCAGTCGAGTCAAATGATTCGACACCAATGACCACCCCAGTGGGAAAAAGTAAATCAAACAAATAGCTGCAGAGACTCCTCCCGGATTTCGGAATTGCGACAGTGCCTGAAGGGTGAGGATCTCGAGGTTTATGGTCGCTGAGCCGTGAGTCGAAACCCTGAACCATTGGCTAATATCAAGAAATGAGGATTCGTTTTTTGTTTTCTTTTTGAAGAGCTCTTTATCTTGTCTCTCTCTCTCTCTGTGTCTCTGAGGATAAATGGGAGTGTGAAGAGAGAGATCAACAAAAATTGATTTTGTGTATAGGAAGGTGTGGTGGTAGAACAGATAATCAAATCTTTCACCTAATTCGTCTCTTTCCCTCTTTCTTCTGTCTCTTTGTTGGGTCTTTATTTGTTGCTGATGGGAAGAAGAAGAAAGAACAAAAAAGCAGAGCAAAAGCTTAAATCTGTTATAACCTAGACTCTTCCAAGTAAATCTATTTTTATTGTAAGAGAATCCCAATTCATATTATAAGACCACTCTGTTTCATTTTTTTTTTCTTCATTTTGACCTACCATTAGATTGATATTCGCTTCTATATTTCAATTTCATAGCACAAATTGTTTTGTAATGTTCTTTTAGTCCCAAGGCTTGGGCTTCTAAATTATGATGCCTTTGGGATTCAAACTTTTACTTCTTTTTGGAGCCAAACATTTTCTGAGGGGTTTTATGGATTTAGATCATTTATTTGCCATCCACTGTAAAGTAATTCAAATGTCTTAAATTCAATATTTATCACACTAGATTAAATTAATTAATTTGATCTTATGTGACTTAATTTTTTTGGTTAATTTTCTTAGGTTGTAAAATTTTTGTTTTCTGTTTTGTTAATTGCGTGTTTTCAGTATGCTATGATCATTAACTATAGCACTTGAAATTATAGGAAATGAATATAATTTTTTTCTTTTAGTACAAGACTTTTTTAATCATATCTACAATACACACCTAATCAATCATATACTTTGACTTTAGAATAATAACAGCTCAGAATCTACATATAAAAATATCACAGCCCAAATAATGCATGTACAGTCCAACCAATCATCCCAATTGATCACATGGAACTCATGTTTATAAGTTGAGAAGTTTTACATTTTAAAGGAAACCAGAAACCAAACCTCAAAAAATTTCATCAAGTTACAAGCTCTTTATAGGCTTAATGGATTTTGGAAGATGAACTTCAAACCCTCATGGATATTCTCAGAGTTGCAAGGCAATACAAATTCAATCTCACGTTCCAACAAAGAAAGCAACAATATTCTCTTCTAGGATCAAGTAATGAAATAAGCACCTTTTATTTTTAGAACCAAAAGGAGACTATATGTGAAATCAATACAAGGAAAAGTTCCCAATCGACATTTTGCTGGATTTGATATTTCTTAAATAGGAAAACAATACAAGAAGTTCAAATCATAGGTTTATATCATTTTTAAAAAGGTTGAAATCATAGATTACTACAAACAAGGAAAAATGGAAAAAGTGGAGGAGATGGTGCATTTAAAACAAAGAAAAACATTCTCCATTATTATTATTGCACGTAAATAAAATCGATATATCTTTGGTTCGGTCAGACAGTCTCGTCACGGTTTGTCTGGTCGGCGCAAGAATCATTGTTCAGATCAATACTCCTTCGATGGGTCTTCCACCCTGGTGATAGTACTTGAAGTAGATCTCCGGATAGTTCTTAAATGTTTTGTACAACCTTGGTCTTGCCTCAGACACAAGCCCTTCTACAGGATGAATCACTTTCTCTGCATGCGGAAAGCAAAACGTTGCCACAGATATCCTTTCCTTTTCTGTGTTAGTCACCACTCTATGAACCGGGCTCTTGTATACTCCATTGCTCATTATCTGAACACAAACGCATGCATGAGAGATGAGTTATGTCAAACCTACACCAATCAATCTTCAAAAGTTTATATGCATATGCATGATTGATTAATACCTGGACCACATCTCCTAAAGTGATGAGAACTGCATCAGGGATGACTGGAGCTTTATACCAGTTCCCATCTTTGAGGAACTGAAGCCCTTCTACATTTTTGTCCGGTAAGAGAAGAGTGACGGCTGAGCCATCAGTGTGTGGTCTAGACCCAATAACCTTGTCTGGCCTCGGACATGGAGGATACATGTTGAATCTTGTCTCCATAATAGAATCTTCTCCACACATCTCTAGAAAGCAATCCTCTTCCAAATCCAAAGATCTAGCCATTCCCTTGAAGAGTTGCTCTCTCAGTATCTTTAGCTTCATTGTGTATTCATGTAAAGTTTCCCTAAAGAAAACGTTTACCAAAAATGACAAAATGATGAGAATATAAAAACAAAAGTATTTACAAAAATCATTATAATTACTCTCATAAAAATAGTGCTACAAAATGCATAAACTTATATGAGGATGAAAAGCAATGCAAGTTTTCGAAACTAAATGGAAATAATTTTCATAAACTAGTATAATTTTCTAAACTAAAATACTGGTAATTATCCATAATCTTACCTTTCTTGGTTTTCATAATCCACTAGATAATACTTGCGCATTGCGCATAATAAAATGATTATTATTCTTATTAAATATTGTTTTTAGATTTATTGTTAAGATTTTCTTTAGCTACTTTAAATAATGTTTGACAATTCATTTTAACGTATAGATTATGAAATAAAATGTTTGGCAATTACTTTAGTTTATTAGTTTAAATATATTTAAAAATAATTAAGAAAAATTATGGCGCTACACATCAATAAAAATAGCCTATAATATTTTTATTTTAATATATAGTAGATATACAAAATAGCAAAGGTCACGAAGCAAGATCTTGCTGTTGAAACTAAAAAAAAAAAGCGATCTTGCTGTAGAAACTTAAAACAAGAAGCTATGGAGTTTACCTGAATTTGATTGGAGTTTCTGGCCAGAATTTGAGCTGTCTTTGATCTTCAGGGTAAGTAGTGAGGTGCAAGCGATCGAGCCACTCGAGAAGTTGATCATCAGAAAATATACTGTCGTTTCCATAACCTTGGTAACCACCAATCTCTCTTGCATACTTCTGTTTCTCTTCGCTCGAAAACGCGAAAAACTGTTTTGTTAGCGCGTAAACCTTGTCGAGGAAGACTTCTGTAATCCCATGATTCGTCACCTTTTTGAACAAGAAACCAAAACTCAATGATATCACCGAAACATCTTACAGTATCTTTATGACTCTAATAGTTAATCACTAAGAGGGTCAAACCTGAGCAACGCCCCATGTAGAGAGCACGGAGTGAAGTTTACTCAACTCTTGTTGACCTTCATCAGAAGAAGAGAAGAGAAGGCTAAGATCAATGGATGAAATCTCCATCTCCGGCACCAAAACGTTTAGAGGTTGTTGACCTTCGTCGTCGCCGGTGGTTGGGAAGATGTATCTTTCCGGTAGTCCTTCGCCTGTTTCAACCAACTCTTGGACAGTCTTTAACTTTGGCTTCTCCATTGTTTCGGAGGATCTTTGTTTGATGATCCTTTTGGAAAGAGAATAACTTTTTGTAAATATTTAGACTAAGATGGTTCTTGAGTTTGTTCGTCGAGTACGTGGTGTTTTTATAGGCAAACGTAACACTATTTTAATAGGCAGATCAGCTGAAGTTGCGCAAAACAAAAAAATGCCTTTTAATACTCAACTCCGCAGAAACATGTTGCCTAACTCGACAAAAAAACTTTTGGTAATACTATTTATTAAGGGAGAACGTTTTATGCATTGAGAATTTTTTTTATTATAAGTTTGGTTTTGGTATAAGCATTTTTTTATACTCATTGAAATTATTCGACAGCAAATTATGAGTTGTTTATAGGGATGTGTTTGTTTGGATTGTAGAGCTGAACCTAAGCGGTATGCTGTTTCTAGATGAGAGTATGTCTAGATCCTGCAAACATTTACAACAGGTAAGCCGGACCTTCAAAAGACTGGAAAAGGCTTTTCCTCCTAAAAGTTTTCTGATGCTCAAATTATAGTACATCCAATTGAAAATGGATAATCAGGAGGGTGGGTAGACTGTGATGAGTTTAAGCTTGGACACCCTATCCAAAAATCGTGATATCCGTCTGCTATTTGGTAAATGGGAGCGTAAGGTAAATAGACAATTGGGAGAGTAGAGTTGAAACTCTCTTCAATGGGGGACAAAAAAGGTTTTAGGGGAGAAGAGAGTACTTATAGGAATATGGTGCCTCATACAAAGACTCTAAATTATGGTTTGGGTGAAGAGGTTCCACCGGAGTTTCACTCGTTTACAACTTTAGAAGAAGCAGAAGACAACAACGGAGGCAGCCAAACCGTCAGGAATGCTGATTTGCTATGGTCTATGTGAGCACATTTTCATTTTGGGTTTAAACTGTCGGAACTATGAACTATTGGGCAGTATGAAGTTCGTGAGACTAGTACTTTTAAATAAAACTATGCTATGATGTTTTAATTTGTTTGTTATTTTTATTTGTGTTTGACAAAATAATTTTAAGCAAAGTTTAACAGAAAATTCAACTAAAAACATTAAAAAGAGTTATAAAACCATATAAGTTCATACAAACTCCAAACAAACACCCATAAGTCTATTTACAAAGCCCACATTATCTCTTCAAAACATTACAATCCACAAGATTCACAACTACCTCCTTCAGCTTTGCAATCTCTTCAGTATTGTTGTCCAGCTCCAAACGCGCTCCATTTAAAAAGGAAGGTTTGTAAAGCTTCCAATCATGTTGGACTGTTCATCTACTTCTTTCTTTAATATAAATCTATTTTTAATATAAAAACATCTTTCTCACCAGTATAATCCCAACAATTATGAATATGGTAACTATCATTCTGCACATAAAAACAAAAACTGCATGTTCAATAATGTCATTAAATTGGTAAAACAAAAAAAACTGATCTTACCTTATACATGTTTGCAGATAAAATACCTCCTGCCTAGATTGGATTCAAAGTCATTGATCTTCTCAATGATTCGTCCACCACATGACTAATAACAATTAATCATAGAATAAATTATTCACTGTGCCAAAATTACTAACTAATATTAATCTAATAAAATATAATAAAAATCATAATAATGTATTTTAAGATTTATTTAAAATTTCTCATTTGAGAAATTCATCTCATTCTCTCTTTTTTCTTTTTTTTTAATGGTGAGAAACCTATTAAAAAACTCATAACGCAGATTGTATAAGAATCATTATTCATAGGAAATCTCTACGTTTTTCTTTTTAATACACATCTACCATACACAAAGCTATCAATCATATGCTTTGACTTAAAAATAATAATAACAGCTCAAACTCTACAAATATAACCAACACATCCCAAATAATACATGTACAGTCCAACCAAATTATACACCAATTGATCACATCGACCTCATCTTTGTAAATTTTTACATTTTAGAGGGAAAGGAAATAAATGGTTATGGAAAAATCGAGTCATAGAAAAAAAACAAACGGAAACCAAAAAGGAAAAATAGGAAAATAAACTATTTAGATCACAAATATCGTTAAAATTTTAAAAGAATTAGATTATTCTGTCTACAACATCACGACGGCTTCAACTGGTGAGCAAGGGAACGAGGAGGAATAATGAATTCCTATTCATTCCTTAAAATTTTTACCATTTACTAGTAATAATATTTCCCTATCATTCCTTCTTATTCCTTATCATATAAGGAATTATAGAATAAATGTATTTCTTATTAAAGTTGGGGAGGAACAAAATATATTTATTTACTTCCTTATTTATTTTTCATTCCTATTCATTCTTTTTTTTTGTTTATTTTATTCTTTTCCTTTTTATTCCTATTCCTTTTTTATTAGTCACCAATTTAGTATGAAGAGTTCTAGATTTGATATTTTATTAATTAGGAAAACAATACAAGAAGTTCAAATCATAGATTTATCAAAAAAGAGAGCAGAACTCATAGATTACTACAAACAGGGAAAAATGGAAAAAGTGGAGATAGTGCATTTAAAGCAAAGAAAAACATTCTCCATTATTATTGCAAGTAAATAAAATAGAAATCTATCTCTGGTTCGGTTTCTTGGTTCGGTCAGACAGTCTCGTCACGGTTTGTCTGGTCGGCGCAAGAAATATTGTTCAGATCAATACTCCTTCGATGGGTCTTCCACCCTGGTGATAGTACTTGAAGTAGATCTCCGGATAGTTCTTAAATGTTTTGTACAACCTTGGTCTTGCCTCAGACACAAGCCCTTCTACAGGATGAATCACTTTCTCTGCATGCGGAAAGCAAAACGTTGCCACAGATATCCTTTCTTTTTCTGTGTTAGTCACCACTCTATGAACCGGGCTCTTGTATACTCCATTGCTCATTATCTGAATACACACATGCATGCATGAGAGATTAGTTATGTCAAATCTGCACCAATCAATCTTCAAAAGTTTATTTGCATGTGTACATGATTGATTAATACCTGGAGCACATCTCCTACAGTGATGAGAATTGCATCAGGGATGATTGGAGCTTTATACCAGTTCCCATCTTTGAGGAACTGAAGCCCTTCTACATTTTTGTCCGGTAAGAGAAGAGTAACGGCCGAGCCATCGGTGTGTGGTCTAGACCCAATAACCTTGTCTGGCCTCGGACATGGAGGATACATGTTGAATCTTGTCTCCATTATAGAATCTTCTCCACACATCTCTAGAAAGCATTCTTCTTCCAACTCCAAAGATCTAGCCATTCCCTTGAAGAGTTGCTCTCTCAGTATCTTTAACTTCATTGTGTATTCATGTAAAGTTTCCCTAAAGAAATGTTTTTCAAAAATGACAAAATGCTGAGAATAAAAACACAAAAGTATTTACAAAATAATTATTATTACTCTCATAAATATAGTGCTACAAAATGCATCTATACACTTAAATATAAGTTTTCGAAACTAAATGAAAATAAAACATTCATAAATAATTTTCTAAACATACATAGTCTTCTATTTCTTTCTTTATTTTCATATTCCATATACAAAATAGCAAAAGTCAACGAATCAAGATCTTGCTGTTGAAACTGAGAACAAGAAGCTATGGAGTTTACCTAAATTCGATTGGAGTTTCTGGCCAGAATTTGAGCTGTCTTTGATCTTCAGGGTACGTAGTGAGGTGCAAGCGATCGATCCAGTCGAGAGGTTGATCATCAGAAAATATGGTGTCGTTTCCATAACCTTGGTAACCACCAATCTCTCTTGCATACTTCTGTTTCTCTTCGCTCGAAAACGCGAAAAACTGTTTTGTTAGCGAGTAAACCTTGTCGAGGAAGGCTTCTGTAATCCCATGATTCGTCACCTTTTTGAACAAGAAACCAAAAGTCAATGATATCACCGAAACATCTCACAGTATCTTAATGACTCTAATAGTTAATCACTAAGAGGGTCAAACCTGAGCAACGCCCCATGTAGAGAGCACGGAGTGAAGTTTACTCAGCTCTTGTTGACCTTCATCAGAAGAAGAGAAGAGAAGGCTAAGATCAATGGATGAAATCTCCATCTCCGGCACCAAAACGTTTAGAGGTTGTTGACCTTCGTCGTCGCCGGTGGTTGGGAAGATGTATCTTTCCGGTAGTCCTTCGCCTGTTTCAACCAACTCTTGGACAGTCTTTAACTTTGGCTTCTCCATTGTTTCGGAGTATCTTTGTTTGATGATCCTTTTGGACAGAGAATGACTTTTTGTAATATTTAGACTAAGTTTGTTAGTCGAGTACGTGGTATTTTTAAAGGCAAACGTAACACTATTTTTAATAGGCAGATTTGTTGAAGTTGAGCAAAACAAAAAAACGCATTTTAATACTCAACTCCGAAGAAACAAGTTGCCTAGGACCCGACAAAAAAAAAAGCTTTTGGTTCTATATATTATTTGTTAAGGGAGGACGTTGTATGCACTAATCTTTGAGAAGGTTTTTTTATTACAGCTTAGTATAAGTAATTTTTTATACTCATTGAAACGTTTCTTTAGATACATGTTGAAACCTACTTTATAATCTGATTTAGGTGTTACTCTAGCTTGTTCATGCATGCACGTTTCTAATTTTAAAAACATTTAATTTAGGGTCTTGCAAAATCATGAATTTTCGAAATTAAATATATTTTATAAATCCAAAATTTAACTTTAAAAATTGTAACAAATTCTGAAACACTGTGAACTATACCAGAAATGTAGTAAAGAACATAATTAACAGAAAAAGATAAATTATTTTCAAAAGAAAATGTTGTTTACGTTAAAATTTGTAATTCGATAATGTGTAGTAAATACATAATTTCGACATGTTCACCACTTCTATATTTCCTCCTCTGATGGAGTTTAAACTTTGAAGCATAGTATAATCTTGGTTACACAAACACTAAAACGACATGCTAACAACTTATATATTTACATATATAATTAAACTTAATATATAATTGTTTGACATGATGACCATTAAGATTAATTGACGTTAATCTTTGTTAAGTAACCAACCGTCAGCGTCTCATCAAATGCAGACTAGAGAAACCATATCAAGCCCTAGAAAGATTATTGGACATTTCAACACTATATACAGTACATATGTATATAGTATTTAATATTACTGAATTTAACGTATCATCAATATTTATCACAAATATATGACAACCTCAAACAGCTGTCATATAAATGTAATACAGCTACCATACCAAGGACCTAATATTATTGGTCAATTTTTTAGAAGACCATACATTTTTTTTTCCTGTTTTGTTGTTAAAAATTGGATTTTTTTTTCGATAACTATATTTGCAAAACAATCAAAAAATATAGTCATATTATTTGAAAAATTAGTAAACTAACAATGGTCCACAATCAATTGTCGAAAATATATACTATACTATATATCAATTTATGGAATAGCTGTATTTGATATAGTATTTTTAAAATATTTTTTTGTAAAGAGGAAGGAAGGAACAAGACGAGAGAGAGGAAGGGAGGAGAGGGAAGGGGAAGAGAAATGGAAGAATGGAGATGAGATGATCGTAGGTGAGCAGAGGAGACTAAAGGGGGAAAGATGAAAAGAGAAGAGAAGATTGGAGAAGAAAAGAATAAGTGGAAAAAAACAAAAGAATAATTTTGTATATTATAGAATATACAAAAAATATTATAATACCTAGTTTGTTATAGTTATTTCAGTAATTTAGCTTCAAAATATGGTTATATGACCCAATTTCTAATTCATAGAAAAACTCTACATTTTTCCTTTTGATACATAGTTAAAAAGAAAAAAAAATCTACATCTACCATACACAGCTAATCAATCATATGCTTTGCCTTTAAAATAATAACAGCTCAAACTCTACAAATAGAACCAACACATCCCAAATAATACATGTACAGTCCGACCAATCATACACCAATTGATCATCTTTGTAAATTTTTACATTTTAGAGGAAAAGGAAACAAATGGTTATGGAAAAAATCGAGTCAGAGAAAGAAAAAACAAACGGAAACCAAAAAGGAAAAATAGGCAAAATAAACTATTTATAGATCACAACCTCGATCGTCAAGAATTTAAAAGGATTTAGTTTATTCTGTCAACAAACATCACGAAGAGTTTTGAATTTTGTTATCACAGAGATGGAATCAAAATTGACCTCTGGTGTTATCCGTCGTAAGCCACCGTCGTCAAGATATTATCCATACGCTACAAGGAGGGGCTCTGCAAAGGAAAGCATGATGAAAGATGAGGTTGTACGACTAGGTGTTGAGCTCTCGCTCTCTGTAGCTGAATCCATGTTCTTGCTCTGTGGTGACAATCGTGCTCTGTTCTGTTTCGGCTATAAGCTGTCGAGACATGTACTGCCGCATCAAGATCCCGTGTTAGAAAGACTGCATCGTGTCTTTGATCATATCTCCTTAAAAGATTTAAAATCCAAGAACGGAGTGTGTAATCAGAATGGTATCGATTCGTCGGTGCGATGGAGCTTTATCAGGAACACTTGGAAGGATTTCGTCTTCGGAACCATAATCTTGCATCGCCTTGTTATTGTTCTTCGAAAGAAAGATCTCTCTTTTGATGAACGAATGTTTTCGTCTTTTATTGCAAAGTACAAGAAAGTTCTGAGTAATATAGAGGATAAACTGAGGCCCTTCAAGAATGTTTCGGAGGCGAATGGTTACTTGAGGGAGACGCAAGAGTCTGACATTTTCCACTTGTGGAAGTCTCTCTTCGACGAAGAAGCTTTCGAGACAACACGCAGAGTGATAAAGTCTCCTTACAATCTTGGTAGGGATTCAGCAAAGAAGAAGCTCGAAAAGGAGGCTGTGCGACTAGGAGTTGAGCTTTCGCTATACGTGGCTCAGTCGATGTTCTTGCTGTGTGATGACATTCGCAGTATGTTAATCTTCTGCTTCAAGTTATGGAGAGATGCGAAAAACGACTTGAATCCAAACAGTCCCGTCGCGGAAAGGCTGCTTCGTTTGATGCATTATATCTACTTGAAAGATGTCAAACCGAGAAACGGAGTATACCAGAATGAAACCACGTCGGTCCAGTTGGAACTGGCCGGTACGACTTGGCGGAATTTCGAAGATGGGTTTACGTATCTGGATCTTGTTGTTTTGATTCTCAGAGGAGAAGAAGAAAACTGTTTATACCGCAGAGAGTTCACGTCTAGTATTGAAGAAGAGGTAAAGAGTCTAGAGGAGAAGTTGAGGTCCGTAAAGGCTGTTTCAGAGGCGAATGGGTTTAAGAGGGAAGCGATAAAGTGTAGCATTTCTGAAATGTGGAAGTCTCTCTTTGATAAAGAAGCTAAGGAAGCTTCACAGACTCTGAGAGTGATCAAGAATGGGATTCTTCGTGACCTGTTTCTCCCTCTACTGAACGAATGATGATTGTTATGGCGGCCTAGTAGCTTACGTCTGTACAATTTTCTATTTCATTTCTGATAGAAAAAGATTAAGAGATTACAAAATAGTTTACACAATGATGAGAGAGCTTCGAAAGTTTCTCTACGCGTATACACATTTTTGTTTAAACACTATTCTTAGTTACAAATAACAAACCATATACACAAAGAACGATCATGGCTTCTTCTTCAATAAAGATGATGTACGTACCTTATATAACATAGATTAAAGATTGAAAAGAAAAAGAATCTTACAACTTACGTTACATTGGTTACAAACCCCAAAGGTTTTTGTTTTTTTTTTTGGTTTAATTTTTGGTCAGGTTGTCTCATTTCTCAGAGCACTGTTCAAGCCGGACATGGTGAGGACATGCTCTTTGTGGCTCACCTTTGGTCCATAGAATCCAAAGATCGTTTCGTTTTCGAGCCAGTGTTAACATTGTTCCTGCATTTTCATCACGAGATGTCTCTCAATGTCTCATTCGATGAACGTTATGGGAAGAGCAAAAGAGAGAGAGAGATGGTGGAGAGATTTTCCGGCTTACCGAGAGTGAAAGGGACAATATAGAGCAATGCTGGTTGGCCATGTCCATCCATTAGATTTAGAGCCACGTAAGTAATCAAAAGACCTGCGGTTTTCAAAATGGTTGAATGATTTGACAATGATGGAGAAACTGAAAACTACGCGGAGTTGTGAGTGTGATTTACCTAATCCGTAGGCAACCATTGCCCAAATAAAATAGCCGGTTCGAAGAGTCTTGTTAGCTAACCAGTCATATCTGCAAGAGAAAATGTTAAGGAAAGCTTGCAACTTCGTGAAACGAAACAATGTATGATGATGACTTTATGAGATGAGAGAGAGAGAGAAAGGCTTTTGAACCTGAGAGCAAAAGCGAGTAGCAAACCGGGCAAAAGAATATCACCGAATCCAATAATGCTGTAGCCTCCCCACGGATCGAACATGCGCGGAATCTTCAGTAGCATCGGGATGCCATCTTCTCCGCTCTTATCACCACGAGCTACCTGGAAAGAAGAAAGAAGCAACATTGCATTTTCTGGAACGAGATTTTAGTTTGGGCATTGATTGATGGCTGAACGGTTAGTTACTTACGACAATCATTACGCTTTCGTGGAACAACTTCTTGGAGACAAACACCCAGAAGATATCGTACAAGAAGGAACAGCTGAGAAGAACGGTCCCGACCTGTTCCAAGCGATATGTGGCATTTCTTATGATCTTTCTTTCTCAAATATACCTCCAAAAAGTTTCAGAATTCCAAGATGGAGAAAGACTGAGATGAGATATTAAATATGTTCATAAATTACCTTGAGATTTGGGACATGAACAATCTGTAGTACAGTGATGATCAATGCGATACCCTATTCAGTAGAACAATATTATCAAATACCATATAACCGAATTGGACTGACACGGAAAATGAAAGTGTATGGGGCTGCAATTCTTACAAGAACATCTTGGCCAATCCAAGCGAAGGAGCGATTTCGGTAAACAGCCCAGAGAACAGCAAAGACAATGCAGAAAGGAGAAACTGCAAGAGTCAGGTAAGGGATAGGTCCAAGGAAAGGGACTTTTACATACGAATCTCCAGCACGTTGGAACCATCTGCAGAAAAGAGCAGAGAAAGAACAGTCCATGACATTCTCCAAAAAAGTGCATTAAAGACAATAGGCGATGAAAGGAATCATTTTTTTACCTTGATAGCAAAGCGACAAGGCAAGTTTGCAAACCCTGAAGATAAAGAAGGTACACCATATAAGACCTCAAACCGGTTTACCAATTCAATTTAAGTATGCATTGGATTATGAGCACAAGTCGAAAGAGACTCATACTGAGAGGATGCAGAGATAGAGAACAGAACTAAAAATAAGTTGGTACCTCAACACCACCAATGCAGAAAACAACCACAAGAAGCTCCACAAACCAATAAGACATAAGCTTGTAAAGAACCACCAGGAAGCCCGAAGCAAGAACTACGAAAAAAATAGCCGAAATAGTATTGATCTCCACGACACCACTACCCCCTTCATTTGTGTTAGGGATTTCGTCTATAGCATCCTACATTTTTGCGGGAAAAAACAAATGTTTAGAAGTAAGAATGATTAATTACGCAAGCACTGACAATAGAACCATAAACAAAAGTACAAAAGCAACACATAAACAAAACCATGTGAAGGTTTTGTCAAAAGCAGACAAATGCCTCAAGGAGGGGCCCAGCTCATTAGAAAAGCCATCCGTTACCTATCCATTTCTTGGATGTTTATCTTGACACAACCTTTTCCATATATGGGAAAGCAAATTGGTAAAGAAATGCCTAAGTGTCGTTCAATGAAACTATATAAGATTTTTCTTCCTAGGCCAAACCAAGTTACCAACTACTCTGTCCCTTTTGGCATCATAAGAAATGCACAAGAAGCGAAAGGGGCTTGCTTATTGGCAGCTTATGTGATCCTTACCCATCAAACTAAATGTTCCTAGCCTAATATTAGTAAATCTCAAATAAGTATGAAATGACTGACCTTCAGTAGCTTATCATGTTCAATAGCTGCTTCTCGGGCACTCCACGCAGACCAATAAGATGCACACAAAATGGTACCGATAGCCATTAACCACAAAAAGACTTCGGCTACATCAACAGCTGGTCGTCTTGGGGAGTAAAGCTGCACCGACACTATATAAAGTACAGAAGATTAGAGAGTATTTGATTTGGTATTTCAGATAAAAAAGGACTAACTCTGAAGCATATTGAAGAAGAATAAAAGCTAATCAGATTACCATTATCAGGATGACAACGTACCTTTTGAACTATTGACGAGCATTTTTTCCAAGGAAGCACCAGCATCTTGTGGAAGCATGACGGCAGGAATCTTTATATCTAAATCCGTTTCATCCGGTTCACAAACCATTTTGTAAAGTTCTATAGGAAAATCAAACATATGAACCATGAGCACATTCAAATAGCATCAAAGCAATAAGCCAATTTCAAGAGTCAGATCGACACAAAAAAACAAGTTATCGACATTACCTTTCTGGTTATTTATGATTAACAGAGCAGAGGCACCAGCAGCTTCCGCATTATTTGCCTTAGCTGTGAAACGACAGTTGCCCCGGTCCACAATAACAACATCTCCAGAAAGCTAACAAAGATTACTCTCAAGTAAGTTTACGCATTCTCTTTTCAACATCAAAGCTAGTAATAAATACATCAAGGGTAAATAAAAAAACCTTGGTCTTGAGCGGTGTACAACAATCACGAGGATTTGCAAAAACAATGTGTGTCTGGTTTGCGTTCTTCTCCTTGGACACTATCCGCCTCCCAAATCTAGCCCCTACGCCCACAAACTCCTCTTTCTCAACACCATTAACCCAAGTTTGAACTTTCACCTAACGAAACCATGTGACAAATCACAAAAAAAAAACATAAACTTCACCAGATCTTAATTCAATTTGATAAACACTTCTCATCTAATATACGAATGAAGCAACGAAAGCTCATCGATACAACAGTGTGGAGGTTCACAGAAAGTAATCAACAGCTCGACAAACAATATTCATCAGGGAAAAAGTACAACTTTACGATTAAAAAATCACACTTTTAATCAGTTCTTAGGATCTAAAGGGATAACTAGAAATATACTTCACAATCATCAATAACCAACCCCACAAATAACTTCATGGCTAAGAAAGATAATTGTACAAAAGTGAAGTAAAACCCAGGATCGAAGAATCCATAACTTAGATCAATTACAAGCTAAACAGTAAACTAAGAGCTTAAGCTTCAACTCGAAAGGTTACTAATTTAGTCGCGAAATCTTCAATATCGTAAAATCAGAAACCTGCGATTTCAGTTTTTTTAGAGCTTGGTACTTAGCTTCGCAAAAAACAACAAAATTCGTTGGATTTTTTCTTCGAAAATAGTCAAGAACAAGCTGAATTCAGAGTAAGAATTAAAAAAAAAAAATTGGGTAGAGATCAGTACCAGAACGAAGTCATTTTCGCAACCTGGCTTCTTAGGAGCTAAATCATCCTGATGAACAATATCACCGGCGGTGACTGTAGAGAGGAGAAAGACGATTAAAATCGAAGCGGATACAAGAAACATCCGGAGAAAACCCAGCGAATCCATGGAATGCTCCAAGGATTCTCTCTCGCTGTATCACGAATTTATCTCACACACACAAACAATGAAGAGAGAACGAGAGAGAGAGAGAGGAGTGAAACACGGAAAGATTAATTTAAGAAAAAAATAACAAATTGGGTAATATTCTCAGAAAATAAAAATGGGAATATTTAATATACTTATTAGATAGCATTGTTGGTGTTGGATCTGTGGAAAGTGACGTAAGCGCGAAGAGAGACAAAAAAGTGAAGAGTGAAAACGACGTCGTTAGGTCATGCCCATTAGACCGGTTTTGGCTCTTCTGATTGGACCGGTTTTGCTAAAATGGTTATCGTCGCAATCCTGTCGACAATTTCTTAAAATTATATGCAGATTCTTCTACTTTCAAGTGGGATTATAAGATTCGGAAAATGTCTATTAACAACGATAATGAATTGACCTTTGTTGCGACAATTTCCTCGGACATACCATGTTGTTTTGTTTGTCTTAACCAAATTATTATTTATTTGGTTTATATATGATTACTGATTAGTACTATTGGTTTCTGAGTGGACCCAAAGACGACGAATGGATATCGGAATCTTTAATTTATATACATAAAAAAAAACAATTTTATTCTATTTTTTCCTTTCTGCAATTTATTTTTGAGATAATTACCTCGAAAGATATGTATATATCACATATATATTCCCTACCAAACTTTCGTGATTTTTGTGTTTATCATATTCGTAATTTCTCAAAATATATATTTACCAAATTGAAACCGTATTTTCCTTATACATGAGTATACTTTTTGTTTGAAGTTCAAATCTGCAATTAGGCTCGGTTTCAATTTTGGATACACATGAAAGGAGAAAATATATAAATTTTAAACCGAGTTCGATCTGAATCGGTTTTCATTGGTTCGGTTTAAATTGGTTTATCCAAATTAAACACACCTGCTATCTCTAAATCAACAACAACACTTGCACAAACACAACTTACATTTTGGGTTTTAAACTCTTACAAAATTTGTAGACATCTTCTTCTCCCACCTTTAGAATCTTCCTCTCTCTCCCCTGCAGCTACAATGACAATTGGTTTCCTCTTAACCGATAAAACGGTGAAGTAATCAAATGGAAGAACGTTAAGGTAATGATGACTCATAAGATTAGATACCTCAAAGTCTCTTGCATAGAACTCATGATCGATCTTCGCAAGAGCATAGCCATGGTGGAAGCAAAACCGATTCCATGTCTTTGCTATTAGCTAACTTCTGTTCTAATGATCTCACCATAGTAGAGACATTAGTGACTCTCTGGTAACCTGCAGAAGCAGAGTAATAGGAGGAAAGAACAGATAAGTGATCAGGAAGCATCTTGATAAGTTTCAGAAACTCTCATAGATCAAGAGCAAGATCTCGATTCTTGTTTTATCATCTAAGAGACTGAAAGTAGAAAGGACAATATAAATGTTAAGGTTGTACTTACCGCCATGGGAACTCGCTTGTGTCTATTCCTGCTTGGTGAAGCTCATCAACGTACTGTAATGCTTCTCGGCATTCCTCTCGATCATCATAGAACTCTTTCTTATCACCTTCAAGCTGATACGCTTCATGGCCTTTCCCTGCTACGACCTGCAAAAACAGACCAGTGTCAAGCAAAGCTATATATACCCAAGAACTTCATTCGATTATACAACTTTGAAGCTGAAATTGCTCAAAAGAAGTATTTAAATCCAACTACTTTGGTAACACAATAAGGACAATGCAGAGAATGGGTTTTGTTTGAGAACTTACAACCATGTCACCTTCTTCACCCATAGCAACAGCACACCGCACAGCTACACGTCTAATATCGTGAAGGAAGAGTCTATGACCATTCGCTAGAGGCGGATAGTAATCGTGTTCGCCGTGTTTCAAATACTCTTGCATCGTCCATCCAATCCCAGACAACATGTCGTCCAAGATGTCCACTAATACCACATTGGAGATTTTTCCAAACTGTTAATATACCTCAGGACACACTACTCGACCTAATCTCAGAAGTTACTTACATGGATCTTCATTCCCTGGATTATCAGATGTCAACATCGTCACATCACTCTTCTCAGTAGCGATTTTCGTCATAACCGGTCTTTTCCCTCTCTCATTTTCACCCTCGCAACCGATCACTTCAACAAACAAATGAATGCTAAAGTAATCAGATGACCACACGTATAACAACTACAACACGTAAGGAGCATAATATGGGTGAAAGGAAAATTTCTATACCGGTAATGATTCTTCTCGGTTTAAGCTCTCGAATTGAATCTAGCAGCCTTGACAAACCATCAGGTGTGTTAGCATGATCCACAATGACGCCAAAAGCTTGTTCCTCATCAATCAACTCACACCTTCCAGGGACTGCATCCACTTCCTCAACACCTCGAACAATATCCTCAAGAGGAGCTCCAACAGCAATCCCGACAGCAACAGCAGCAAGAATGTTATAAATGTTGTGCCGTCCTAACAAACCAGAAGAAATCTCAAGTATCCCTTGAGGTGTATTAACCAAAACCTGCGTCTCAAACAAGGAAAGCTCAAACTTTAACGGGTGAACATCGGCTTTCGTGTTCTCCATGGCAAACGTCACAACGGGAACGTTAGGATTCCCTTGCTGGACGAAAAACGCTGCGTTTGGATCGTCTATGTTCACCACTTTCCTGTGCCTTTCCGGGTCCACCATTCTTGCAAACAGCTTGGCTTCAGCGTCTCTATACTCTTCGTCGGTACCACGAAAGTCCGTATCCTCTCTTATCAAGTTCGTGAAAACAGCAATGTCGAAGTCCACTTCATCACATTTCCCTAGAGCAAGTTCTTGAGGAGAAGCTTCCATAACCAGAGCTTCAGTTCCGTTATGCAACATCTTAGCCATCAAGCTCTGAACCAAAACCGCATCAGGATTCGTCGTAGCATTAGGCGTATCCAATTTGTTATCCCCATGGATGTAACAGGAGACTGTGCTAAACATTCCTGTTCTCACACCCATAGCTTCATAGAGGCTTTTTATCAAATACGTGGTGGTCGTCTTCCCGTTCGTGCCGGTGACTCCGATCACCGACATTTCCTTTGACGGGTGCCTGTAAAAGGAAGAAGCTAAAGCAGCTAACACTGCATTAGTGTCTTCGACGATGACGAGTGCTTTACAACCTAAGGTATCTTCAATGTCGATCTCTTTGCTAGCTACAACAGCCACTGCTCCTCTCTTGTCAGCTTCGCTCAAGAATGAATCTCCATCGCTCTCGCTTCCCACACAGCAAACGAAGAGATCTCCGGCGCTAACACCTCGCGAGTCCTGCTGAATTCCGGTGATCTCAACGTCCAAGTCGCCGTAAACTGAGATCGGCACTACTTTGCTCTCGTCTAAAAGCTCAGCTAAGCTCAATTTGAATTTAGGTTCCACGATTCTCACTTTCGATCCACCGAAATCATCCAAATCAAACTCGAATTGATGATCGGACCCAATTTCCTTCTTCTTGCTGATCCTAACGTTTCCTTCCTCATCGAAGTCTTCTTCATCAGAGACTTCGGTTAATCCGGTTAGTTTATCGATTTCATCCAAATCTACAACCTCTTCATCATCAAGCTCATCAACAACGTCGGTAACATCACCTTCTTCTCCATCTTCCTGTTCAGTCTTCTTAGATTTGGGAGGGTTTGGTTGAAGCAAACCTTTCTTGACAAACTCACTGCGTTTCATGGATATAGCTCTGTCGATATCTGAGAACAGATCGCCTCCAGATTCCACGTCGTCTCGTCCCGTCTCCGGCGCGTCCTCCACATCGGCGATGGCGGAGAGATACGTGTTCCGATTCTTCTCGAAATCTTCTTCCTCTAGCTTCCGCGCACGAGCAGCTTGACGCTGTATCTGCTGAAACTTCGAAACTCCGTGCATTGAATCCTCCGGAGCTTCAGGAGGATCGTCATCTGCTGGGTTCGGGTACGAATTCCGGCGAGCAGGTCCCGCTGCTAACTGAAGATTACGGGAATTTCGGGAGAATGGTAAGATAATCGGTTTGTAGGAGAAGGAAGAGGTGGTTCCTCTTAGAGAGAGGAAGACTGGGTGAGGAGAGATAAGAGTGAACGCCATTGGAGGAGACACTGAGAGAGCGATGAAAGGTTTTTCGAGGGGATAAGAGTTTAGCTGCGAAACGGTGCGTGCAGGGGAATCAGAAATGCCGGGAAAACGATGCGTTTCAGATGTCAGTGACAACAAAAAAGATTGGGTTTAGAAATAAGGAAATGGCCCGTGATCATGGCCCACTATAATAGCCCACGACCTTTTAACATTTTTAAAAATGAAGAAAGTAATATCAACTCGCACAATTATTTGACAGAATATTTTGTTTGAAGAGAAGACAAAAAGTTGCTTCAAATTGCTATGTGCTGCAGAGAACCCAACAAACATGTAATTAAAAAACAAAAACAAATAATGATGGCTATTGATTTTGACATAAAAGATTGATACGAGGCTGGCTAATTTGGTCTCTAGATGGTTTTAAAGAGATAGTGTTTTCAATTATTATAATCCATCTCACAACAAAAACTAAGAAATCATCATCATCATATCTATTACTAATAAAAATTGATTCTAAATATTTCTAAGGGTGTCCACATAGAATTTAAAGATTCAATTCTATTGGTACACATCATCATTATCTTTAATTAATTATATATTGTATATTAAATAAATTAATTTCGTTTTTTATTTTTTAAAATAAAATTTCTAATTTTTAATTAATTTCGTTTTTGTTGTTATTAGGAAATTTTCTAAATTTTAAATTAGTTATTAATAAAAAAGGTTAAAAAGTAGATCTTATTTTTCTATTTACAACAAAAAGTAATTTAACATATAAATAGATTATTAAGGAAAATCATATATATTAAACAAAATAATTAAAAAAATCTATTTAAGACCATCATTAAACTATTTTAAAATTTAAATTATAATAAATAATTATAATCTGAGCTACTAATTTAAAATATATTAGTTATGGTCCATGTTGATGTTTTATACTGATGAAAGCATCCACATAGAACATAGAAACTCAATTTGATTGGTCAAAATCAGCGTTTTTATTAAACATAAAAAATGTTAAATATGATTAACAATTTAAATAAATTAAAAATACAAAAATATAAATTATCATAGTATAATGGAGAGTTAATATAAATTATCATATATATTTCAAATGAGTAATG